TCATTTTTCATTTATTTTTCTTTCATTATTGTTTAATTTTCAAGTATGAGAGAAAACACATGATACTTGTCTTTCTGTCTGGCTCATTTGATTAACATGCCATCTTCTAGTTCCATTCACTTTCCTTATTTTTTATGGCTGGGGAATACTCCATTGTATACATATGTAGGATAGTCTCTTTCTCCATTCATCTCTCTCTCTCTCTCTCTCTTTAGTATGTTTATTTTACTTATTTGTTTTTATGTGGTGCTGAGGATAGAACCCAGTGCTTCACATGTGCTAGGCAGGCCCTCTACCACTGCACTACCACCCCATCCCTCTATTTATTCCTTGATAGGCACCAAGCCTGATTCCATATCTTGGCTATTGTGAAGAGAAGCACATTAAATACAGATATACATGTATCTCTTTTTTTCATGGTTGGGGGGTACCTGGGATTGAACTCAGGGACCCTCAACCACAGAGCTTCATCCCCAGCCCTATTTTTTTTGTTGTTTTGTTTTGTTTTTTTGTGACTTATAATGTTCTTTTATTTTTGTATATCTACATTTTCTATTTTTTATATTGTGAAACATTACTTTTATACTAAGGGAAAATTAATAATAATATTAATAGTAAGATAAAGCTTGTAAATATATAAAAATTCTTAGTTTTAATGGATTCCCCTATTAATTAATATTTAGGTTGTTTTAGTCCATCTGCTTCTGTTGGTTATTTCGGTTGTTGCAAACATACATTATTGCTGTAGAATTCTTTTTTCTAATTTTTCAGTATTGTAAGGAGCAAAGAAGCAAAGAACATAAGTAATTGACAAAAAAGGGGGGGGGGATTAATTATAACAACCAAACAAAAATGCTTACAAAGCACAGAGAGCTGAAAGCTACCTTGTGATACAGATGCAGCAAAGTTGTCAACATTCAAATAATCACTGCCCCAGCCATATTTTGTATTTTATTTAAAGACAGGGTTTCACTGTTGCTTAGTGAGTTCCTTAGTGCCTCTCTGTTGCTGAGTTGGCTTTGAACTCATGATCCTCCTTCCTCAGCACATTAAGTACAGATCTACATGTGCTGAGAGCCACAGCTGAGTTGGAATGGCCCCTGGCATTTTGCCAATAGTATTGGTTGAGAGGCAAGCCATTAAGATGATGCTGGATTGATTCGGTTGTATATTAGACCTTTACTGTCCACCTTGCCTGCTACTTTGGAGTTCTCCCACTACTTTGGAGTTCTCATGGGGATTCCCGGAGAGTTCCCATTGGTTGGGGAAGTGTGGGAGGAGGGATTCTGGAGGAAGAATTTCCGGTGGGTGGTTCCTGGAGGAGCCGCGTGGAGTTCAGGGGAGTTCCGGGGAGCATGTGTGGAGTGTGCTGGTGGAGATCAGAAATAAAGTTTGTTCCTGCTTCAGTGGCTCATGATTTGTGCCCAGCCAGACTGCAGCATTTGGTGGCCCGTACGGGGAATGCCTGAAGCTCAGAGGTAAGTGAAATTGCTCGACCCTAAGGGAAGGTGAGAGAATGGGTGACCATTTCAAAAAACAATGTGTTCTTGTTTTGATTTGATTTGATTTGTTTTGGTTTCAAGCTGCCTACCCCTAGAACTTTCTCAGACAAACTGGGAAAAATGGTTGGCTCAAGGTTTGAAGTTGTTGGCCCCTGAGGAAGAGATAGAAATAGACCACAAATGCACATGTCGAGAAAATAGGAAAATTGATACAATGATTTTTTGTTCCGTTTTTGTTTCATTCTGCTTCAGTTTTGTTTTGTGTTATCTTGTTGGGTTGTGTTATCTTTATAGTAGATTAGAAATTAGTAAAAAACAAACTGAAAAAGTGTTAAATAAATTGTTAGAGGTCCAGACTATGGTAGAAAACATGTTAGATCAAGCAAAAGAGAAGGTCTCTCGAGCTAGTCAGACAGAGGAAGAAAATTTAAAGGAAAAGGGGCTATTAGGGAAAAAGCTACAACAGGAGGCTGCTACTAACACCATTCTATCACCAGAGGGCGTAATTCAACCAACAGCTCCACCTATAGAGACAGCTGAGTGGCCCTCAACCCCCGTAGTTGATAGATGGGATCCTGAGACAGGACCTTGAAGATTATCATGCCCTGTACTTGAGCAGGCAGGAGGGCAGCGAATTCACCGTGCTTTAGATTTCAAAACAGTGAAGCAGTTAAAGGAGGCTGTAACAACCTATGGTCCCCAAGCACCCTTCACTGTAAGCATGGTCGAATCCATTACCAACTTGGACATGACCCAGCAGATTGGGCTAGCATGTGTAAAGCTGTGCGAAATGGAGGACAATATTTGCTATGGAAGGTAGCCAATGAGGAATTTTGCACAGAGATGGCTAGGCAATATGCAGCAGCCAGTTATCCTCACAGAAATCTAGATATGTTGTTAGGAAAAGGACCTTATGAGGATCAGCAGCAACAAATTAGATATGATCCTGCTATATACTCACAAATTGCTGCAGATGCAGTTAGGGCATGGAAGACTTCACAAGGACATGGAGATTTACAAGGTCAATTATCTAAGGTAATACAGGGAGCTAATGAACCTTCACTGAATTTGTAGATAGTATTATTCAAACAGCTACCAGAGTTTTGGGGGATACAGAACAAGCAGTGCCATTAATAAAACAACTGGCTTATGAGCAAGCAAATCGTTGGTGCAGAGAGGTCATTAGACCATGGAGAAAGACATTTTAGATCAAGCAAAAGAGAAGGTCTCTCGAGCTAGTCAGAGGAAGAAAATTTAAAGGAAAAGGGGCTATTAGGGAAAAAGCTACAATAGGAGGCTGCTACTAACACCATTCTATCACCAGAGGGCGTAATTCAACCAACAGCTCCACCTATGGAGACAGCTGAGAAAATACATGTATCTCTTTTTTTTTTCATTGGGAGTGGATACCAGGAATTAAACTTATGGTCCCTCAGGCACCGAGACACATTCCCAGCCCTATTTCGTATTTTATTTAAAGACAGGGTTTCACTGAGTTGCTTAGCCTTTCTGTTGCTGAGGCTGGATTTGAACTCATGATCCTCCTGCCTCAGACTCCCAAGCTCCTGGGATTACAGTTGTGCCCCCATCAGGGCCAAGTATCTCTTTTATATGCTGATTTTATTTCCTTCAGATGCACACCATGAAGTGGGAGAGGGGGATCACACGGTAGTCTCTGTTCTGTGTTTGGAGGGACCTGCATGCTTTTTTCCACTATGGCTACACTAACTTACATTCTCCCCAACAGTGTCTAAAGGATCCTTTTACTTCACATCATTACCAGGACACCCTTTTTTGTGTGTGTATGTGTGTGTGTGATGACAGCCTTTGTAACTGTAGTGAGATGGAGTCTCAGGGCAGGTTTTTTGTTTGTTTTAGAAACACCTTTATTTATCTGAATGCAGTCCTGAGAATCCAACCCAGTGCCTCACACATACTAGGCAAGCACTCTACCACTGAGCCACAATCTCAGCCCTCTCAGGGCAGTTTTGATTTGCATTTCACTGATGCAGTTTTTCATATATTTTTTATTGGCCATTTATATTTCTTGTTTTAAGAAGTGCTATTCAGATCACTTGCCCAATTTTTAATTGGATTGTTTCTTTGTTGTCATTTTATAAATTCCTATTGGATAAATACTTTGCAAAGATTTCCCTCCACTCTGTAGGTTTTTCTCTTCACTCTGCTTATTGTTTCCTTTGCTGTTCAGAAACTTTCATCTCCTAGAATACCATCTGGCAGTCTCGCTTCTTCTTCCTGTGCTTGGAGTAATGTGCAGGAAGTTGCGTCTGTTGTCTTCAAGTGTTTTCTGTTTTCTCATCATGGCTTCACTAAGACAAAGCCCTCCAGGGCTCCCAGGCACCCTTCCACCAAGAGCCTCCTGCCAGAGCAGATAAGCCACCATCTAGAAATTAATGGAGAAATCGCCAGAAAAGATGACAAGTTGCTGCCACTACTAACTGATCTGCAAAATGAAATCATTGATTCCAAAGATCCCCGTATCTCCCCTGCAGGTAAGAGATGCTGAAACGCAGAAAGAGCCAGGGGAGTGCAGAGTGCTAGAGGCTGGCATTTGATACAATGAGTGTTTAGAAGCTCCTGTGTGGCAGCATTTCCATGGTAGGAGCATGAACATTCTCTCAATTGTGAACTTCACCCAGAAATAGGGACTGCTGCTCAGGTAGCACAAGAATAGCATTCAGAACTAAAAGATGAAAACTCCCTTCTCAAGAATTTGTTCCTTTTAAGTTGAAATCTTCCCTCCTAAAGACAAGGAGCCATACCACCAAAATGAAGTCACAGAATTATTTTTCCTATGATCACTTCCTATCCTCATATCCTGTTTATTTCCTCATTTTAGTGTATTAAGTTACACAAAT